TTGATGCAAATACTAAAGGCCTATGGGATACCAGACAGTATTGTGGATATCATTAATCTACTCTATGTAAACACAAAGGGCAAAGTTATTACACCTGATGGGGATACTGAGCTATTTGATATCCTGGCAGGAGTTCTTCAAGGGGATACGTTAGCACCATACTTGTTTATTATAGCCCTTGACTATTGCATGAGACAAGCCTTAAGCAAGCACCCTGAAATAGGATTTACCATTAAGCCTTATAGGAGTAGGAGAGTTAAGGCGGAGAAGATATCAGACACTGGTTTTGCAGATGACATTGCTCTGATAGCAGATACTGTAAAGGAGGCAGAGACGCTGATGCTAGAGGTAGAAAGGGTTGCTGCTACAGTGGGACTTAGAATGAATGAAGGGAAAACCAAATTCATTACTCAGAACATCGAGAACCCTGATACCATCAAGTCCCTGGGTGGTAACAGTATAATAGAGCATGTGGAAGACTTCACTTATCTGGGTTCTAGAATCAGAGACAGTGAGAGTGATATCAGGGTTAGGAAAGGAAGAGCATGGGGAGCATGCCACACACTCAAAAAGCTTTGGAATTCTAAGCTTAGAAAGTCTATCAAGATCAGAGTGTTTACAGCACTAGTGGAGTCGGTGCTACTGTACGGTTCCGAGACTTGGACAATGACGAAAAGGCTAGAGAAGATGGTTGATGGTTGCTATACGCGAATGTTAAGAATGGCCCTTAACATCAACCAATATCGAGACCATGTCAGCAACCACAGCCTGTACGGTGATCTTCCCAAAGTCAGCTCCAAGATAACCCAACGAAGGCTCAGACTTGCAGGTCATGCTCACCGACATCCGGAGCTGACACTGAACAAACTGATCCTCTGGAAGCCGAGTCATGGGCATACTAACAGGGGGCGACCTCATTTAACACTACTAGATAACCTAAAAGCAGATACTGGGCTGAAGTCAGTAGATGAGATAGCTAGACTGATGGAGGACAGAAAGCTGTGGAGAACTGTTGTCAATGGATCTCGGGAATACCACCCGCCTTAAGTCAAGTAAGTCATGTTTATAATTCTTAGCTTTGTATTGTTCTCATTGTTTCATATCTGCTATTGGGACCCTGGATAAAGATCTGGTTAGTAGGATTGGCAAGGCATCCTTACAGAGACAAAGATCAGAATCCTGAATCAACAGAGAATCTGTATTAACAGTATTGCCTTACGGAAGCGAGACTTGGCCAAACATCAAAAGCCATGTGCACCGAGTAGAGGTGTTACATCAGAGGTGTCTGAAGAGGATTCTACGGATTCTACGAAGACATGCTGATGCAATGAAACAGTTCTACAGCGGGCTGCTATCACAAATGTTGCAACCTTCATCTCTAACAACAGACTGCGGTGGTTTGGACACGTGACATGAATGCCTCAAGAACAGCTGTCCAATAAATTGCTGAAGTGGAAACCGGAACATTGAAATATATCCAAAGGTAGACCTCGAAAGTCTTGGCTCGATTGTGTTAAAGAATACATCAATCCCCAACATCGGAGACGTGATCATTTTAGCAAGAGACATTAGTCAGACTGAGACAACGTATACCAGATTGAGGAAACCGTTACAAGTACACGTGCTATCAACTCAGGTCTGCCTTTTCTGATTTGATGACCCTCCTACTACCCACCACCCTTGACCCTTTATAACCATCTGCACCAAAAGTCGTTAATTGGTACCCTGGTGAATGGATACTCAGGATCTCAACAACACACAAAAGATACTACCTGCCATAAATTAGAGTATAGCGAACTCTACCCACAGGTTAGTCAGGCGGTGGCTCACACTCTGATGACATCTCTTTTTGGAGATTTTCGGACTCGCAGACTACCTAGTTGAGTGTGTACCACAACCTAGCACCCTGCCTAAACTTTCAAAACTCCCGAACCTATGTTGCAAGCCTGCTCCTTGAAAAAAAAACTCATAATAATGGATAGTGATGATTATGGGTTTTGATCAAATAATATATGAATAACGATTAATTTACAAAATGACTAGTGACTACAGGTCACAATGACCCTGACTACTAGTAGTAGTACTGACGACTGAATATTGACTACGACTACTGGTTCAGGTTACTGTTACTGTTAGCACTTTGACTTAGCAGCTTTATTTTCAACAAACTAATCTGAAGACGCAGCGGCGGAAGTCACTGCGGCGGTGGACGGTACAGCGGAGGACGGTACGGCGGTAGTTTCCAAAAAGGTTGGACGGTGCGGCGGATCACATGACACCCACTTTACTTTGGACAGTACGGCGGTACTACTACTACTAGAAACTGTACCTATAAGATAGACCTAGCACTGCTAATATCGATTAGATATAAAAAGTTCTATTTTCCTCTTTGTTACTTCGAAATTAATTTTAATTAAAATTAAATTGGATAAAGTTTGACATATGCATTGTGATTACTAAGAGCAGTTCTTGTTCCACTTTCTGGTTCGTATCAGATCGCGTCCGGTCTGCACAACGGTGGTTAAGCGAGTGCACGATGAGCTTGTTTGTTGTTACGGTGAGATCTCATATCACTGCGCCGAGATGCAATGGGTAATAACAAGGGCATGAGAACACGTCACGAGGGATCGCATCCAGGAATCTGATCAACCGTAGCTCAGTGAAACGTAGATAATGATAGAGGCATCAAAGTTGAGGAGATTATCTCATTAGCACCACCGTCCACCATCTCCACTCTCCAGTACTGCAACACTACAACTTGAGTACAACAGCTACAACGATGTTCGATGAAGATACGGTGAAGGTGGTCAGAGGGAGAACTGCTAAGAGTCAGAACCTTCTACACCGTGGTTTCCGCTACTCCAAAGATGGAAAGCCGACTCTGGATGGACGAAAGGCTTGGAGGTGCGTGAAGAAGAACGACAGATGCAAGGGACGACTCTACACCCTCAACGGATCCCTGGTGTCAGTCACCCAGCCTCACAACCACAGTGCCGACATAGCTGACTGCGAAGTCCGAGAAACCCTCTCCCAAGTCCACGATCTGGCTGCGACTACGATTACTCAGAACCACAGAATCTACTGCTCCGTTACTGGCTCGCTGTCCCAGACTGCTCGCTTCCTCCTCCCCAGCGAACAAGCGGTGAAGAAGCAAGCTCAGAGAGCCCACCGGAAGGAGAACCCTGTCCCTAGAGCTCCGACGAACCTGGCAGACCTTGAACTGGAGGAGGACGACTGCATGTCTCTGGCTGGCGAACCTATGCTCCAGTTTGATAACAAAGACGACGAGCGACGAGTTATCATCTTTGGGACGGAGAAGAACCTGCGAGCCCTGGAGGACAGCAGCTCTTGGTACGTGGACGCGACCTTCTCCTCTTCTCCTCAGCTCTTCTACCAACTCCTCACCATTCACGCTGAGATGGTCAACTTCAACGAGGACGCTACCTGGGTCTTTCCTTGCATCTACATCCTTCTCACCCACAAGGATACCACCATCTACAAGGATATAAAACTTATAATGCGAATCTAGAACAAAACTTAGAAACAAGTTGAATGTGTAAGTTCTGTCTTAGGTACAGTTTCTAGTAGTAGTAGTACCGCCGTACTATCCAAAGTAAAGTGGGTGTCATGTGATCCGCCGTACCGTCCAACCTTTTTGGAAACTACCGCCGTACCGTCATCAGCTCCGCTGCACTGTACCGTCCTCCGCTGTACCGTCCACCGCCGCAGTGACTTCCGCCGCAGTGACCGGTTCCCAATCTGGCTGACTCGTTACAAACCGATAGTTGACTTGTCACGTTAATATGTGAGTAGACCCGACCATTACTGGGCGGCGCTCAGCCTGTCATAATAGCCTGGGGTCCCCCAGGTAGACCCGACCACTACCAGTACCAGAAGACACTGCAACTAAGCAACTTGCAGGTTGGCCTAATTTCACCTTTTAACAATTAAAATATTAATACATTTCGATCATGGCCTGGGTAGTGGACCGCTGCAAGTGTCTCCGGCCTTTCCCAAACAAAAGGAAATGATATCATTATCAAGGGTTTTTTTGCCCATAATTTTCCAGGGAAGCATTTTTACCCTACGTCATGGGGGTGATTCGTCCAAAAATACACCGATCAAGGTTACTGTCATACCCTCAGGGCCTTTTCACAAGAAGTTTCTTAAAATTTGGGCGAACGATTTAGTTGGAGCGGTGTCGAGGATCTCGGAAATGTAATCTCAATGCAGTCTGATTGGAGGCTGTCGAGATCAGCTTCACACGTTTCTTTGTCACAGTTTATGAATTTGTTTCCTGTTATACTTTTTAGTCAGAATAAATTTTCCGCCTATTAATGTTCTTCTTCGTACAGGATACTTCACGAAGGTTTTGATTGCAGAAACTTTGATTCACCTAGATATGTTCGTATCGTTTTCAAGCTTGTTATAACTCTTCATTTTTATCATAACATAAGCATTTTTTTACTTCAAGGTCACAATTTAAGCCAAGCGACAAATAAGCATTTATAGTTTTTGGTAAATCAAATTAGAATCTTAAAACATCGCAAATTCATAATAATTTCCAATTCCATACTGCAACACCAATCTTCGAAAAAAATCAAATAATTTACTTAAAGTGTTTTAACCGATAATTTAAATTTAAGTTATTATTTTGATTCAATACGAACAGTTAACAAACTACAGATTTATCACGGAAACCCGTCTAGACACATGAAACCCAAATATTCTCAAAGTTTTTGCTATTATGAGGCGATTGAAGATATTAAGCGAGTGAAGAGTGAAGAGTCATCCATATTTTAGAAACAGATCTCCTCGCCTAGTGATCATTAAGGAAAGTAAAACATGTTACAGAATACCGAATATAACTTCTTTTGTTTTGTACTATACACACTGTATTCTAGCTTAAGTATCAAATTTGATATTGAAGTCAGCGTCTCTTTGAAGATTTTCCAATGAACTAATCCTAATTTTTGAGATAAAGTAAAATTTAACTAAAAGTTGAATTCCTAACAAATAAAATAAATTTGGATTTCGAACTATACCCCCGCACACATATAACTTCAAATCTAAAATCAAATCCCTAAACTGAGATTACTGCCACTATTAACTTTATTTAAATTACTGTTACTCCCGGACCTGTTCAGGTCCCCACTGTCTGCCCTACCACCAGAGTTTCTGAAAGGTATTGTGGGCGGTGGCAAACTGCCGTCCCGGGACGGGGGTCTGGGAACTTCGCGTGGAGGCAGCATCGCACCCCTTGGAGGCAGTGCACTTCCATTGTCTCGCGGTGGCAAGAAATCACGAGGCGGTAAGTCCCTTGGGGTGAGGTCCCTTGGAGGCATATCCCTTGGAGGCATATCTCTTGGCGGCATATCCCTTGGCGGCATATCCCTTGGAGGCAAGTCCCTGAGAGGTAAATCCCTTGGCGGCATATCCCTTGGCGGCATATCCCTTGGAGGCAAGTCCCTGTGAGGTAAATCCCTTGGGGGCATGTCTCTCGGAGGTAAGTCCATGCCGCCGGGAGGAAAGTCCCGAGATGGCAAGTCTCTAGGTGGTCCATGATACATGGCTGGAGGGATGCGATCTTCTCGTCCCACGGAGGAAGGACGGGACCTGTCCAGGACTCGGGGGTCGAAGGGAGGGTGGGGGTAGTCCCTGTAGACCATATCTCGGGGGTCACGGTACATCTCGTCTGAGTACGGTCGGGGCACGTACCTCCCGTCATCGTACGATCTAGAGAGTTGATGGTTAGTTTTCACATACTGTTACTGTTTCCGATCGGTTTACGATAATCCATTTACAATTGTAAAGAGAAATTATCAATTTTAAATTTTAAAATTTATTTTAACAAAATTAACTATACCGCATGTCCGGAGGAAAGTGGTCTTTTATCTTATCCAAATCCATTTTCCTCTCCAATCTTCTATTTTCAAGGTCCTCCGCGGATGTTAAACTGCTTTCTGACGGAGAGTCAGGAGGCCCAGTTTTCCGGAGATGAGGAGGAAAGTCTATAAAGGGGGGACCAGGTACCGGACCTTCTTCCGGGATAACAGTGGTGCTGCCGTTTGCTGTAATGAAAACAGTTGTTAACGACGGGATAAAACGAGGATACTGTGTGTCTAATCTCCCACCGTGTGTACAATAACAGTGTTACCAAGGCGTCCTATATTAACATTGTCACATCTCCTCTGTGGATCCATAGTAACAGCCACTAAAACAGCTCAATGACCTGTCCCAGAGAGAGTCTCTCATAAAATACACCAAATAACCTGGGAGGGGGACGCCCAGGTGCCACTTATCTGCCACAACAGTAAGGAGTCTAGTCTTGAGTCCTGATAAACTAAAGGACCCTTCAACAATGGGACCCCCCATATTATTACTGGGATTATCAAGTATTATAGAGGTCTCTGTAGACGGGGTCAGCTGGTGGTGATGAAAAGTTGACGGCTATTACTCTAATATATAAGTGCGTCCTCCGGGACCCCACTACGCCAGTGTTTTGTCACTCTAATTTTACCGTTATAATCGCCTGATAGATCTTAGTTCAGACTATTACACGGCTCATGGTCCAAGTGATAAATTTTCAATAATCCTAAAAGTCTTCTGGCTGTGGACCTGGAGTATTTACCTGAACATATGGTCCATTTCTCAATGTAACCAGTCGTTAAGTTTCTCTGGTTTTTACTGAACAAGATCTCTGACGACAAATTATAATGTACACAAAATCATGGTGGAAACTCACATTTCTTGAGTTTTCTCACTAACTCCTGCGATTCTTTCAACTTAGTATCCTTGGATCTGAGCTGAGTGAAGGCGTCCTTTGCTTTACGTTCGTTTGTCTGTATTTGCAGAGTGAGATTTCTCTCAACCTCGGCGTGGGATTTCTTCAGTCGGGACAGTTCTTCTTTGTAGAATAAGATGTTCGCTTCACTGCTTTCCTCTTCCAACTGCTTACATTTTACCTGGTGAAGTTTGAGTTACAGTTCATGATCATTATTTTAAAGTAAAATTTCCTATCTACAATCCTGGGTGTCCTCTTTTCTTAAGAAGGAACGAGAGAAGTATTTTATATATACCAGATGTGAATAATCACGTGATCAAGGTCCGTTACTACTAACCTGCAACTCAGACAATCTGCAGTGCAGACCGTTACTACTAACCTGCAACTCAGACAATCTGCAGTGGAGACCGTCCTCCTTCTCTTTGAAGTAAGTCGACAGAGTATCATATTTAGTGGCATATTCCACTCTCTTCGCTATTTCCTCCTCTTTTTCGTTTTTCAGCTGTTCTAGTTCATCGTCCACTTCTTGAACTCGTTCTTCATACACGTCACAGTCTTCTTTTAACTGAAATACATACACGTCACAGTCTTCTTTTAACTGAATTACAAACACGTCACAGTCTTCTTTTAACTGAATTACATACACGTCACAGTCTTCTTTTAACTGAAATACAAACACGTCACAGTCTTCTTTTAACTGAATTACAAACACGTCACAGTCTTCTTTTAACTGAAATACATACACGTCACAGTCTTCTTTTAACTGAAATACATACACGTCACAGTCTTCTTTTAACTGAAATACAAACACGTCACAGTCTTCTTTTAACTGAAATACATACACGTCACAGTCTTCTTTTAACTGAAATACAAACACGTCACAGTCTTCTTTTAACTGAATTACATACACGTCACAGTCTTCTTTTAACTGAATTACAAACACGTCACAGTCTTCTTTTAACTGAAATACATACATGTCACAGTCTTCTTTTAACTGAAATACATACACGTCACAGTCTTCTTTTAACTGAATTACATACACGTCACAGTCTTCTTTTAACTGAAATACAAACACGTCACAGTCTTCTTTTAACTGAATTACAAACACGTCACAGTCTTCTTTTAACTGAAATACAAACATTTTAACTCGTTCTTCATACACGTCACAGTCTTCTTTTAACTGAAATACATACACGTCACAGTCTTCTTTTAACTGAAATACATACACGTCACAGTCTTCTTTTAACTGAATTACATACACGTCACAGTCTTCTTTTAACTGAAATACATACACGTCACAGTCTTCTTTTAACTGAAATACATACATACACGTCACAGTCTTCTTTTAACTGAATTACAAACATGTTAACTGAATTCAGATATTTTGTCAGAACATTCAATAAAGAACTCAAATTAATTGGGAAGCAGTGATCCAGCACAGTGTCTGGCAGATTAATCTACTAAACCCAATGTCTGCTCACTAATCACTAGCAGTTTTAAAAATAATCCGGTCAAAGGCCCCCAGCCAGTAAATACCAGCCGCGACTTATAAGGAGTAATCCAGAGAAATAAACGCAATCGCAATAACCATGGTAACCATCAACTTTCATAGTTCATACCAATGAAATTGTAGTATTAAAATATTAAATTTTGTACCATTTAAATTAAGCACCACTGTTGAAGGAGCACCACTTTATTAATTTACCTTTTCGAATTCCTCAGCCAAGTCCCTGTTCGTCTCCAGAAGCCGCTCGTTTTCACTCTTTACAGTGCTCACATCTATCATGTCCTTGAAGTGAGAGGCGAAGTCTAGCTCCTCATCTTCTTCTGTCTAAAATAGAGGAGTAATTAATAATTAGTGAGTAATTAAAATAGAGGAGTTATTAATTTGGAGAGAATGTGAATCTGGTAGTTTCTGTTAAAACCCGTATTCCTCAAATATTTCTTATTTCCTTGTAAGTACGTATATAATGCGGTAGTTACCTGTGCACGAAGATCAACCAGGCACTCTCTGATAACATCAACATCACGTGACTTGGTTACCAGTTCTTCTTCCAGATCTGCTATCCCACTATTCGCTTCTGTGGAAAGTAACGGTAAAACTGTTTGTTATTGCAGTATTAGCTAACTGCCCTCTCTAGGCACATATTATATTATGACTTATAAAATAGTGAGTAATACAGATTCAGTATTAGCTAACTGCCCTCTCTAGGCACATATTATATTATGCACATATAGTATGACTTATAAAATAGTGAGTAATACAGATTCAGTATTAGCTAACTGCCCTCTCTAGGCACATATTACATTATGCACATATATTATGACTTATAAAATAGTGAGTAATACAGATTCAGTATTAGCTAACTGCCCTCTCTAGGCACATATTATATTATGCACATATATTATGACTTATAAAATAGTGAGTAGTACAGATTCAGTATTAGCTAACTGCCCTCTCTAGGCACATATTATATTATGCACATATATTATGACTTATAAAATAGTGAGTAGTACAGATTCAGTATTAGCTAACTGCCCTCTCTAGGCACATATTATATTATGCACATATATTATGACTTATAAAATAGTGAGTAGTACAGATTCAGTATTAGCTAACTGCCCTCTCTAGGCACATATTATATTATGCACATATATTATGACTTATAAAATAGTGAGTAATACAGATTCAGTATTAGCTAACTGCCCTCTCTAGGCACATATTATATTATGCACATATATTATGACTTATAAAATAGTGAGTAATACAGATTCAGTATTAGCTAGCTGCCCTCTCTAGGCACATATTACATTATGCACATATAGTATGACTTATAAAATAGTGAGTAATACAGATTCAGTATTAGCTAACTGCCCTCTCTAGGCACATATTATATTATGCACATATATTATGACTTATAAAATAGTGAGTAGTACAGATTCAGTATTAGCTAACTGCCCTCTCTAGGCACATATTATATTATGCACATAAATTTTGACTTATAAAATAGTGAGTAATACAGATTCAGTATTAGCTAACTGCCCTCTCTAGGCACATATTACATTATGCACATATATTATGACTTATAAAATAGTGAGTAATACAGATTCAGTTTATCAGCCCTGCTCAGTTAACTAAGTGAGACATTTTGAACACGTCCTTTACCAATCCATTAGACATTATTGATTAGATTGTTTTTAGGTTTAACCCAGTGGTTGGCTATAACACGTGCTAGTCCAGAGGCTCCCTGGCCTGGCAAGGGAGGAGTTAGTGTAGTTTTATCTATTTTAATATCTATCGTGTAATGAGAATATTTAAAAACATCACAGCAGAAAAATCATGACATTATATCGAAAATCTGACTTCATCTCTTGTTTCATTACCACAATATTTGTTATCTCTCTCTAAAATGATTCTTAAATTTCCCCCCTCCCCCACATCCACTCGATATTTGCTTATTTTTATTAGAGATGGGTTAGAAACGTGACATTGTGCAATTAAGCAAATTAACTTCGTTCCCGAGCACATTCTGGACGGGAGCACATTCTGGACGGGAGTTGCCTCACGTTCCAAAGTTTCCGGACTATTTCTTGATTTTACAATCAGATCAATCCGTCTTTGACTTTCAATCCATCGCCCGCTGCATTCAAAGCAATCATAATTATAAAGAGAAGAATCTAATATGATGAGCGATTTTTAAGGGGACTCAAAAGACATGCTCGTGGATCTCGACAAGCCCACGATAAAATGTTGAGCGTTAAATTGGAACAACCTGAAACATTTCTTTCCGCGTCACCATTGTTTCCTTTTTTCAAACAGCTACCCTTACCCAAACGCAAAATGAAACCGAGAATTAAATCGGTCACTCGCGTTTTTTATGCGCCTAAATATATAAATATAAATGTATAAATATCTTATATAAATATAAATATGGCAATTTTGGGGGTATTTAACAGAATTTCGTATGACAGCGCTGCATGCTGGCGCGTATTTCGTACAAATTTCTTAGAAACCTCAATACGGCTATTTTTATTCCTGTCATCTTTAATCCTGTAGTACGACTTTTGAGGAGTCTAACTGAAAAAATAAAAGTAAAGGGGGTAAACGTTCGTGCTGTGATGATCTTGGTTATTCCCATGATATCGAGAGACCCAATAGAAGCTTATTCAGTGCTGAGATGAATATGAACTTTGTTTTTTGATGATATTACCATTTCTTTTCTATCTGATGGACTTTTTATCGTCGCTTATGTTTTCAGGCTCAATATCTAGGTTATCAATATCATCGATATCATTCTGGCACATCTACAACTGGAGTCTCTTATCTTTTTTTTAAAGATCTTAGTTTCGCGATGTGGGCAGTGTTAGTTAGTATTCAAATATTTATGGTCCAACCCAAGAATAGTTCATGATTAATGCAGACTCCATAATAACATGACCCGTGATAATTATGTATAATTATGCAGGATGAGTAATCAAATTAGAAAGATTAGCTCCCTTTCATTCCGGCGTCTGTACTGAACCATTTCTTTTGAGTATTGTAATAATATTTGTAATTTATAGCAGGAGTTCATGTGTATTGTATAGCTGTTATCAGTTTGAGGAAATTACCGACAAGTTCTCTTGTTTTAATAACGGAGCCCCAATTTTCTCTTGGTTTAATAGTTTATACAGAGTAAAGCATCGTAGCCAATGAAAAGTGAGTATTCATGATTGAACAACCAAAATTGCATTAGCAATCCTGTCCAAATAAATGGAGTTTCGGCGCATGAAATCATAACTTATTAATATTATATACCTTAGTTCGTTTAATTATGGCGAGTTAAATGTGGCCATATTTTAACCCGTCATTATTTTAACCACTATAATAAACCCGCCGAGTCAACTTTTGGAGTTCTGACAGGGTATATATAGCATAATAATTTTATCGTTCCTTTTTTTACATTGAAACAAGCGTCACAAACTCACTTTCTAGGTAGTCCGACCATAGCGAGGTGATTTTATTCAAATACTTTGGTTGTAATGGACGAACAAGTACTGTTAAACTGATCGATATCATGCTATGATACTATTCAAACTTACTACCTAGTACCTATTCATATCAACAGAGATATTATACTACAATACTTTTAATTTTAGATGATATTTACTTTGAAACTGCAAGCAAAAACAGAGTCTGGAAGGAAAATTGGGTACAATTTTGCAATATGGCAGTGGATTTTCAAATTTTTTTCTGAAAATAATTTTGCAGGTAAATTAGTGGTGGGTTAAATTTGGTGGGCTTTCGGAAAATCCGCCATATTTTTACCCGCCATTATTTTTACCCGCCATTATTTTACCCGCCACAAGCCCACAATACTACCCGCCATAAATACACGAACTATTAAGGTAACTCATTTCAATTTGTAATACAGTCTAACCTCTATAAACCGGCCCTCAAATGCGATATAAGCTATGATAAATCAAATTTACTGCAAAACATTAATTAACTACAGTTATGAGAGGAAGGAAGGTATATCGAGGAACATGGTATGTCGCTATACAGAGGTTTAACTGTACCTCACTACACAGAACTACACAAAACTAACCTCCGAGTTCGAGTGAGAGTATCTGAACCCGAACAGTCCAGGCCTCCGTGTCACTCTGGGCTTGCTCGAGCAGGTCCTGGGTCGTCTCCAGCTTCTCCACTGTGCTCTCCAGCTCCGTGGTGAGCTTCTCAACCTGATTAATGTGTGTTACCATGGTAACTAGCAGTGTTACTTAGATGGTAACTAGCAGTGTTACCATGGTAACTAGCAGTGTTACTATGGTAACTAGCAGTGTTACCATGGTAATTAGCAGTGTTACCATGGTAACTAGCAGTGTTACCATGGTAACTAGCAGTGTTAATATGGCAACTAGATGGTAGTTAGAACATGGCTTCCTGGAGTTCGTCATATAGTACAATAATAAATTGAAGTTAAATAACACCACTATTAAAAGCTATCTCAAGGCATATAACTGATACCATACAAATGGATTCGTGCCAACTTCATATAGTTTTTCCTCCGGAATTTTAAGAATCAAAGTGTATAGTTTTTTTACGCACCCTGTACCTGCTCCTTTTCGTTATTATGACAACCATTTGGCCGCCCACTCACAACTCAGTCTAACGGAGAGAGCTGTACTTTTGATTTTCGGGTGATTATATTTTTAAGCGGTCAGAATAATTATTGCTATGATTTGTCTCAAAATCATATTCGATGGCGTCAACTTTAACTACCAAAATTTTGACAAGCATATGGCGAGCATTTGACAAGTAGTTGGTGGAATTCTCAACCGAAACACGTTGACTATGCTTTGTTGTTGACGGCTTTAAGAGGTTATTTCATTGAACAGCTTCTCATAGCACTATATTTCTATATTTCCGCCGCAAATGCAACGGAATTATTAGAGTTATTGTCACTAAAGCTCGCAAGCTTTCCGTTACCATGGTTACTATGCAACCATAGTAACAAGGCCTGCTTTCCGAGACAGTGCTACAGTGGGGACACTGGTAATACTTTTACTAGACAGTGCTACAGTGGTAATAGTTTTACTAGATAGTGCTACAGTGGGGACATAGTTTTACTGGATAGTGCATAGTAACCATGGTAACATTTGAGCCGAGGATTAGGATAAAGTAAGATACTGATATTTCTGGTAGCCAGTTTATGATTAAATTACCTAGTCAAACTACTTATCCTCCTAAACTCAGCAACTCAGCAACTCAGCAACTCAGCAAGGGACATGTCAATTTACGGTAGAATACAGTCACGTGACACTATAAGCCTACCTGCAACATGACAGACTCAAGCTCTTCACGTGTTGTGTTCCGGTCCTCGATAGTAAGCTCAAGCTGAGATTGTAGCTCCGCAATCTGACAGGGTGTTTACTGTTTACTGGTTAGCTTGGCAGTATCAGTCGGGTTGTGGTATTATGTCTGGTTTTAAATATAAATATGACATCGTCCACCAAATATCCTGGATAGAATTGAATCTGCCGATTTACGATAGTTCTAGTATTTACAGTTGCTGCAAGTAAACTAGCTGCCATGTCCAATCTGTCGTGATCCGATAATTTAAATAAACCGTACTACCGTAGACAGCCAACCTAATCAAATTATAAATATGCTAAAATATTATCCTAAATTCCCAGTTACAGGCAAATACCGCTATTTAAAGAGACAGTTTGAGAGATTTATAGCTTACTTGGTCGGAGGTAGAACTAGCTGTGAACTCCTGAGTCTTGATGATATCTTGAGAGGTTTCATGTTTTACCTCTAGGTCTCTTATCTGCTTTTTCAGGGTCTTTTCTAACTCTTCGAAACCAGCGTTGTATCTCTGTTGGGTTAATAAACTTGTAATGTTTAGAAGATAACAAGTTCGACTACCATTATAAGTTAACTTGTAATGTTTAGAAGACAATACGCTAAACTGGCTTCAAGCATCATATGACGGCGTTCATGCTTTCCTTGCAGGATAAACCGCCAATCCGGGGCTTCACATCACCGAACTCCAATTCTATACTGGACTTGCGTAACGATCGAGAGGCATCTGCTATCTGGGGTGGACAGCAACAGCCTGTCGAGTTTCGAAGAAGCAGATCAAAGGTAGTGCATAGTAACCATGGTAACAAAGGTAGTGCATAGTAACCATGGTAACAAAGGTAGTGCATAGTAACCATGGTAACAAAGGTAGTGCATAGTAACCATGGTAACAAAGGTATGAAACCTACCATTGATAGAGTGGCAGTGGAACAAGGATAACTTCTACTGCAGTTGGTCCTGTCTAGACAAAGTAACTATGGTTACTATAAATGGTTACTAAAGTAACATGAACCAAAGAGTCACTCTGACGTCAGTGAGGGACATTGGGACGAATAACGGAAGAATAATAGGTGTTTTTTGTAGTAACGGTCCGCCTGGCACAATATTATTGCAGTTTTTTAATATTCAGGTCAAACCATTTATTTTCTATTTTTCTGCGTATTTTAGAGTAACCTTGCTTTAGCAAGTCGTGATTCTGACAGTGATATTGCATGTTTAAAAACACGCCCACTCTTGAGAGCGTTGTTTCTCAGAAACTCAACAAAGTCACTCTAGCCAAGTACAAACATTAACCTCATATTTCTACTTATTATAGGTGCACGTTGTCGTAGTCACGTGACCCCGATAAACCTATCAGCGAGCAGCTTTGATCAATAAAATTTCAGAATCGGCGCATAAAAACTTGCAGCACCACCCCTCAATACCCCATCATTTGGATTAGGGCAAGGGTATAAACTATAAAACCCACTGGGGTTCACTTTTTTACCGTATTTTAAACTACACTTTTGCCCCCCTCCCCAATTAGAGTGTCACTACGATTAGGGTAAGTACAAAACAGTTTGTAACAGTAAATAGGGTTCCCAATTATATATGGTTACTAAAGTTACTATGGTTACTACATATATATGGTTACTATGGTTACTAAAGTTACGCACAGTTTGTTTGTCCAGCTCACTCTTTAGGTCTCTAACGTCTCGCTCCAAAGTTATTGTTTTCTCCAGAGATCCTGTTAGTTTGTTTTGGGTGGATTTCAGTTCCTCTTTGTAGGATTTGTTCTCTGATTTTATATCTTGTATCTCGGATGCCAGTTCCACTAGCTTACTCGTCACATCTGCAATCAAAATTATCGTTAAGTTATTAATAATGAGTAATATTTATATAAATGCATGATTTTTAAGTTTCCGATAAAGTCTGTTATAAATAAGACTGACACTTTTTCAATACTTTCAACACTACTTTTTTAATACTTTCAACACTACTATATAACAAATAATTTGAGATCATGAATACGATGTAGTTACATTGAAACGTCGAGTAATCTCCTTTCCCTAATAAGAGCATTTTTACTTGTCGCAACAACCGGGATAAAGATAATTTTACCCAGAATACACTTTTTCAAAGTAAAATACTTTTTTTAAATATTGTAATAAATGCATGTGCAGCTGTAGAGTGTAGAACTTATGAGAATTGGGCTGAGCATTACTTTCAAAGATATCACCATGATTTAACTATTTAATCATGCTGATTCCATGCTTTCCAATTTAATGCAATTTATGTCACATGATTATTGCAAATTCTGAACGTGTGAAATGCTTCCATTTAAACGCACTTAGAGATCAAAGTGATCTAATAATCTTGAGATTATTAGTATAGATTCGAATAAAGGTGTAATTTATGGGATTTTTTACCGTCAATATTTCCCGCAAGCTGCTTCTGATTCTTGGTATGCTCCTTCAAACTCTCCATAACCTTTGGATCAGACTTAGCAACGATCTCACGAGGTCCAGCACCACCTTTCAAAGTGGTATCAGAATTGGGGCCTGAAAGGAATGTTAATAACCGCTCATATCGACATAAATATTGATAATATAAATATAAGATATATATAAATTTAAGATGCTGATGCTAACTAAATATCTAATGAAAAACAAAAACGGAACGACCAAACATTGGGCAATTTTTAAGAAATATTATTGAACAAGGCAAGGCCTGACCGGGCTGATCCAATTCAAACTTGGGATGCTTGATTGTTTGGAGAGATTCTAAATGATCAACCGAGAAAGTTGATTTAGAGAACTTTAAAGAAACATACTAAACTTACTACTAAACTTACTACTAAACTTACTCCTAAACTTACTAAACTTACTATTAAACTTATTACTAAACTTACTCCTAAACTTACTAAACTTACTATTAAACTTACTACTAAACTTACTCCTAAACTTACTAAACTTACTCCTAAACTTACTCCTAAACTTACTACTAAACTTACTAAACTTACTATTAAACTTACTATTAAACTTACTACTAAACTTACTACTAAACTTACTCCTAAACTTACTAAACTTACTATTAAACTTACTACTAAACTTACTCCTAAACTTACTAAACTTACTAAACTTACTATTAAACTTACTACTAAACTTACTACTAAACTTACTATTAAACTTACTACTAAACTTACTACTAAACTTACTCCTAAACTTACTCCTAAACTTACTCATGAAGAAGACCACGGCTACAAGGCCAGCCACGAATATCGTGGCAAGAACGATGAGAATGGCTGCTTCGCTTCCTTCACTTTCACATAAGCTTGATATCTGGGGGAATAGAATGTAAAAACTTCTGTTCTCTGTCGAACACAAAGTATCTAGTACGTGTTTAATTCTCATATAGAATTTCAGATTTCGTGATTTCATGCCCAGTTGGCTGGATATAAGCATTTTTAATATATCAGAACTTGCAAATAAGCATAAATGAGGGCATTGGGGGATTAGCTGAGAGAACAATCAAGACATAACATCAAGACATAACATCAAGACATAACAACATGTAATCTAGAGAATGTAACAAACCTAAACTGTTAACTGAACAGGTGATCCAATATAATTGCTGACGTGTCTACAACTAGTTTTATCACAATCAACGGGGCCACAACAGATAATAAACTGCACAAATCCCCTGCATACCGCGGAAAATGCGCTAACTAAACAAAAATTTAAGGCACATATCACTTTACACTCCATTCAATTGTCGATGAAGCAATCATTCTCCTTGGTTGCCCTAATTATATTAATCCGAAGCGCGCGCAATACGAATTCTGCAATGGTTTGCTTTTATTACGGAAATTGGCAAAAATTGCCAAAGCCAATAGTTGTCTGCAAGACTGCGCAGCGGAGGTCTATACATAATACAATTATACAACTACATATCTGATCAATTACTATACCCAGGAATGTCTACTTAAGTTGCAACAAGAGACTAAACCAACACCATGAACACCAGGCGACTGACATAATCATTATTACAAGATCTGCTCTTGAAAGGGAGGCGATGCACTATTGCTTACAAAACACATCAATAATAAGGACACGTAGCGGTACTGAAGAGTAAATACGAATCATGTACATTTCTAATTAAGTGCTCGCTGTAATAGCTCAAACAGAAATTCTGCCAAACCCTAACTATAAAGTAGTTATTTCACAGAATTCAACAATAATTTCAAAATTGGAATACTTAATCGCTCAAGCAAACGAACTTCACAATTCCAAGTAAATGTGAAAGGCCTGGTAAATGTAAAAGGCCTGGTAAATGTAAAAGGCCTGGTAAATGTAAAAGGCCTGGTAAATGTAAAAGGCCTGGTAAATGAAAAAGGCCTGGTAAATGTAAAAGGCCTGGTAAATGTAAAAGGCCTGGTAAATGTAAAAGGCCTGTTTAGTTAAACTAAAACGTATGATGATTAGAGTACACTTGTACTTGTTTCATTGAAGTGCATGTTGATTGCTTCAGCGTAACTCACGCGTAGTGTATAACGTAACACGTAGTGTCATAACACGTGACGTGTTACACGTGTTACACGTCACGTGTTGTGTTGACTCACTACTTGTAACGTCACGTGATTTGTGAAGTGAGAGGTCATGTTTTTAAGAGTCGAGATTTGCAAAGTTTCAACTAGATTATCAGTTATTACTATAAACGGTTATTGATAGAAAGGTATAATCGAGTTAAGAGTTGTTAAGGATCAGATTTTAAGACGGAAAACTGTACAGATGAGGCATTTCAAAGAAAAACTTCTAACAAAACCAACTACGAGATATTGTTACGCAAATTAAACAATCAACATGCACAAAAATAATAGTTGTATTTGCTTCTCTTCGCGCGTCACATTGTAACAGTTTTAAAGACAATGACGGATGTAGTGACGCATGTACTATGCACTGATACTTGGAAACAATAACAATAAATAGAACCTGTACACTGTTATACACGTGTGTAATTTTCTATTTTAACCGCACCTTTATTACGTGAGTTTCAGTTCACAGTTTGGAGCATATCTTTCTTTTGTTGAAACATTTTGTTGTTAAATATTTTAAATGTTTTATATCTTTGGGCTTCACAATGATAACTGCAACTGAGTTTAAATTTCGTTTTAGTCCTTCTTGAAAATGGATCATATTTTCATTAGATCCTAGGATTTAAGCTTTTATTCTTTACAAAGAAGACGATTAAGTGCCTCCTCCCAAATCGATTGCATCATATTTTGTCGACGTTTCGGCTACATGCCTTTATATTGGACGAACGGCCATGTTGGTGAAATTAAATATATTTAAATAAATATATTTAAGCAGCTTTTATTTATTTCTTAAACTATTCCATGGTTGCATGCAGCTTCATAACGTTAAAATGACCAGATTGGAGAGTTAATATTTGCCATATTTATTTCTTTGACAGCATTTCAATTTTAATGGACCCTCGCAGCGTGGCAGATGTCAGCCATATCGTGATATTTATTGATAAAATGATATATTTTATGCATATGCTATAATATGTTTAATTTTATTAGTTATGTCATTATTAGTTATTAAGTAATATGTTATTTCAAACTTGGAATACTTTAGTACGTTGTCATGAATCACTCAGCGGTAAAATTTGAACGGAATCCGGCTTTTTATTTCCGAATTGTTGATCAATTTTTGTTAAAATATGGGCCTATTTTTAGATTTGGGGCCTGTATCAATCGGACAGTTCAGGAATTAGGATTTGGAGTGCAAGGTGCTTTATTTGATGAAAAAAGGTCAAATGAGATTTATAGAGTCCACACGTGCGGTAATATTGCACGTGCAATTTTATTATGTTGCACGTGTACTGTTCAGCTTGTCTGTACTTGTAAATTCGCTTAGTTATTCAGTTTTATTCAGTCCTCGTTATTATTAAGAGTTCCAACATTTTTTCAACCAATGTTCAGCAGGATGAAGTATTACATTGTCTTAGTAGGTTACCATGGTAACAATATGTTGTAACCATGGTTACAATATATTGTAACCATGGTTACAACATATTGTTACCATGGTTACAACATATTGTTACCATGGTTACAACATATTGTTACCATGGTTACAACATATTGTTACCATGGTTACAACACAGTGTCTTAGTAGGTGGGGGTTGTATCTTTTCAAGGTTGTAACTTGTAGCTGTTATCTTGAAAACGCACGTTTTGCCAACTAAACATGTTTCCTAGTATGTAACTCTTATCCTAAAGATCACAACTTAATTGTAAATTCTACACAATCACTATGTACGTAGTATGACGTCTAAAGTGGTAAATAGAGGGGGCGGGGTCTGAAAGGGCTAACTTCATTTTTACGAAATTCTTATTTTGTAATACTTTCACCACCCCTGACCCATAACGCGTGACCCATAACGCGTGACCCATAACGCGTGACCCTTAACGCGTGACCTATAACGCGTGACCCATAACGCGTGACCCATGACGCGTGACCCATAACGCGTGACCCATAACGCGTGACCCATAACGCGTGACCCATAACGCGTGACCCATAACGCGTGGCCCATAACGCACGGGTGACATTATAATTTATTACGATACGAAGCATGTCATCAGCTCTAGATCTGAGATAGTTTCAATTAATCAAGATAAGTTTTATGGGGAGAGAGTATTATTTATTAGGATTATTAACTTTATCGGATATCTCTTGCTCATACCGCTAACGGGTTGTTAAGCAGATCGCGTAATGAAATTTGCATATTTATTTTCCCTATAACTTATATATTGTAGTATTTGTTGATAGTGGTTTGATATCATCCGTGTCTTGTAACCACGACCTGGGTCAGGATTATCAACAAATTGTGCTCTTCTTCTTAACTAGGCCCAGATTTCGCAACTTGTTTCACTCTATATCATTAGAACTATCCACCCACTCGTAGTCACTCCCATAATGAAGATGCTAAAAATAGCCCTTGATTGGTTGCGTCGACGGAAGTCAAGAATCTCTTTTTCGTATGACAACTTTAATATTTTGCTACTAACGACAAAGGCTATGTGACAAGACATTTATCTGCTTAAGTGCAATATCGGCAGAAATAAAATCTTTTACGTGAAATCAATAAACTTCCTGTGAGGTCCGGCCTGACACTCGTATATTCACGTAACCATGGTAACTCGTATATTCACAGAATTAGTTAACTCCCCTTATGAGATCAGGGCCAAATAAATCAACCTAACTTGACAACCATTTACAAGATATTGACGTGGTTATTAACGTGTCTACTCACGCGCTTGCTTGCTTCATACTGGGCACTACAAATACTACAAATACTACATATTTCTAATAAGTCGCGTATTTCAAGATTGGATCTTGTGATCTGTCGTGAAGGATACAGCTGTGGTAACCATGGTAACCATGGTAACGACAGCTGGTAGAGACATTTTAGTTATTCCTCAGAAGTGATAATTTACAAATTTACTGTTTATTATATCAGGGATTAAAACGAGACTTTATCCTAAGTTGTCTTACATCAACATGTAACCATGGCCATGGTAACAATATGTTGTAACCATGGTAACAATATGTTGTAACCATGGTAACAACATGTTGTAACCATGGTAACAATATGTTGTAACCATGGTAACAATATGTTGTAACCATGTAACAATGTGTTGTAACCATGGTTACAACTTTAACTCACACTCCTATACATATCTAGTAGTTGTATTAATGTTTAGACCACATTCTCCACACTGAGCCTACTCAGGGCTAACTGAGCCTACTCAGATCGAAGGGCCAGGCTACTTATTTTTACATTTACATTGTTTCAAACACTTTTACAGAAAGTAGTGCATTCCGGAGGTGAGCCACATTGCTCCAGTACATTGTTTCAAACACTTTTACAGAAAGTAGTGCATTCCGGAGGTGAGCCACATTGCTCCAGTACTAAACTTGCACCTGAGTAAAACATTCTACAAAATTTCATTTCCTTCCTCTTATTTCTGAGGTAACTTTGTTTTTCGTGCACAAGCTTACTAGCACTTTTGTATACGAATGTTGGTTTTTCTTTCACGAAATGTTACAAGAGTTGTTCCCAATCCTTAGCCGATCCTAGCAGTGAGAACTAACACATTGTTACCATGGTTACATCACATTGTTACCGTGGTTACAACATATTGTTACCATGGTTACAACACATTATTACCATAGTTACAACACATTGTTACCATGGTTACAACACATTGTTACCGTGGTTACAACATATTGTTACCATGGTTACATCACATTGTTACCGTGGTTACAACATATTG